AAGAGCCTTGGTGCTTCCAAACTTCTTCCATTTAAGAATGGAGGCCAATGTGTTTTTGGGGACCTTCAATGCTGCAGAAACGTTTGGTACCCTCCCCCAGATCTGTGCCTCGACACAATCCTGTCTCGGAGCTCTACTGATAATTCCTTCGACCTCATGGCTTGGTTTTTGCTCTGGCATACACTGTCAACTGTGGGACCTTATATAGACAGGTGTGTGCATTTCCAAAACATGTCCAATCAATTGAATTTACCACAGGTGGACTCCAATCAAGTTGTAGAAACATCTCAAGGATGATCAATGGAAACAGGATGCACCAGAGCTCAATTTCGAGTCTCATAGCAAAGGGTCTGAATACTTATGTAAATAAGGTATGTTTTTTTTTTTTTTTTATATACATTTGCAAACATTTCTAAAAAAAACGGTTTTCGCTTTGTCATTATGGGGTAGTGTGTGTAGATTGATGGGGGGGATAATTTAATCAATTTTAGAATAAGGCTGTAATGTAACAAAATGTGGAAAAAGTCAAGGGGTCTAAATACTTTCCAAATGCACACAGCACAGAAGCGTCAAAGGAGACGAAACCAAAAAGACAGAACACTCGTAAAAACTGAAAATACGACAAACCTAGATTCTAGCGATACAGGAGGCATTTGGAACACGGACCTAAAACATAAATTAGAGTTAATCTAATATAATTTCATTTATCGCCCAGCCCTAGGGCACGACAATGCCTCTTCCCCCTCAGGAGGCTTTAAAGGTTCAGCATGGGCCCACAGATCCTCAAAACGTTATACAGCTGCACTATTGAGAGCATATTGACTGGCTGCATCACCGCTTGGTATGGCAACTGTCTTCGGCCACAAGGCGCTACAGAGGGTAGCGCATACGGCCCAGTACATCACTGGGGTCGAACTCACTGCCATCCAGGACCTCTATACCAGGTGTTGTCAGAGGAAGGCCCAAAAAATTATCATAGACTTCTCTCGGCTACCGCACGGCAACCAGTACCGAACAGGCGCTAAGTCTGGGACCAAAAGGCTCCTGAACAGCTTCTAACCCCAAGCCACAAGACTGCTAAATAGTTAAACCAAATAGCCACCCGGACTATCTACATTGACCCTTTTTGCACTAACAATTTTTTACTCTATACCCACACACACGCTATTATCTATCCTGTTGCCTAGTCACTTTACCCCTACCTGTATGTACATATCTACCTCAATTTCCTCATACCCCTGCACATCGACTTGGTACTGGTACCCCATGTATATAGCCAAGCTATCATTGCTCATTGTGTATGTATTCCTCATGTTACTATTTATTATATTCTGCATTGTTGGGAAGGGCCCGTAAGTAAGCATTTCACTGTTAGTCTACACCTGTTGTCTACGAAGCATGTGACAATTAACATTTTATAATATCTCAATGAGAAAGGAAATTGTGGATGGGGGATATACAAATGCAGCAATTAAATAGAGACAATACCATTTCTGCTGTTTTTGGGGTTTGCCTGGGATTCAAGTCAGTCATATTTATCTCTGAATTGGGTGCATTAATTGACAGAACATCTGCAATCAATCATAAAATTTAACTAGGTTGTAAAAGCCTATTAAACTCTCCACACTAAATAAACACTTCACACCAAAAACTTGACATCAAAATACATTAGCACAGCTCTGGGAATGGCTTTGGTTGTATAGAAGTAGTCTAATACACAACAGTTGTTCAGTTTTAAAATGTGCACCCCATTCCGTGTTTCAATGACTGACAAACACACATGCAGGGAAACACTGACATTTACTTTCACATGTTAAGATTCAATATCCATTTACATTGGTCTGATTATTCTCAAATGCATTTCTCATCTCTGACATACTGTTGGGGAGGGCACACCACTGAATATAAATAGTTATCTTGTGCGCCAAAGGACCATATCGACAGTATTAGTGGGCAAATGCAATGCAAAATAACCGCATTACTACAACTCACCAATAGATGAAGCACTTGCCAAAAGATAGACCCTACTGTTATGCTTGTTTACACTGAGCTGCACTGGGGTCGAAAAACGTACCTCAATGCAGGGATGCCACTGTACTCCAAATTGTAACTTTATCCACACTGCTCCATCGAGAAGATTGAAATACTGCTTGTTTTCTGGGAAAACTGCCCTTTTCAGTGTACAATTGCATTTATTCTATTGCTATTTATCCCGTTAGCAATCAAATGTACATGTTAACAGTATCTTCTGATTGCATTTAATTAAAATGTGAGACATAATAATTGTAATCTATTAGCTTCCAAAATGTAAGTAGGTATATATATATATATATATATATATATATATATATCTGTCCGATAAAACATTCTGATTTTATGGCTTGTCCTGCACTTTATAAAACATATATTGGTTCCTTTCTAAACATAGCAATGTGAATGCAAAGAGGACTCGGTCCACAAAATAGGTGAAGTGATCTGGCAAAAGAGATGAGTCCTCATTCAAAGGCAGAGTGGTAGGCCTATTGATATTTCTTCCCCTCCTTTAAAACATAGTAATTAATTAAATAGCCTCACCCACAAAATGCAAAGGAATTTCAAATGTCTGGATTTGAATTTACAGCGATTCAACAGAAGAAAAAGTATTAGCTAGAGAACCACGGTGCTGGGGTGAGAGAAGGGTGCACCACGGATTGTTCCCCGACCATGGTCACGACACACGTAAGAAAACCACTCCCAGAGATCCACCCCAATTGGCATGTGGGAGGAAGGGGTGGTCAATGCAACGTTGTTAGCGAGCTACAATGTTATTCTAAACTAAAGCGTGGGGATGTGACAGTAATACATACAAATGCCTAACGTTATTTCGCATTGTGCTAGCTAGATGGCTAGCTCTCCAGGCCTCACAGAACCATTTAACTAGATCTTGACAACCGTTGTATGTACACATCACATGCTCGACTTTGTCTTTCGGATCATACAAATTCAAATCCCGACAGTCGTATTTGTATTCGGGTGGCTGGCAAAGAAGTATCTGAATGACACAGAAGAAACAATCATTGACACGAACCGCTCATCCTGGTACCGTTAACGTAGCTAGAGCGCAAATGCACGTCGCAAGGCGTCTGCGTCCACTGAGAAATCCGACACGATAGTTAGCTTTCGAGTTAGCTAGGTCGTATGCAACAAGGGGGTCATATTAAACAGATAGCTAGATAACGATGAGATTTATGTTGGATGGCTAAATATCCTAAGCCACATTTAACTAGCTAGCCAAGTACTTGATGTTTAGTAAACAGCACTGAAGCAGAGAAGCTCGAGAAGGATCACACACCCACCACTTTAATTTAGCAAACTAGGTAACGTTAGCTATCACCATGCATGGTGACCTCAACATGTATTAATGCCACCAGACAAAATGCGTTCATGCACACACAGATAGGGACTCGTTTAAAGCCAAATAATTTAAGTTTACGAACATACAATTAGCGTGATGTATTACCCGCAAATGACATTGCAAAACGCGTAACGTTAGCTAGCTAGGCCACCACCATGCTTCGCCTGGCTAGTTAGCTTGCTGCTTACAACTAGCTAACGTTAGCAGCTTTCTAGCTAGATAACTTTCAAATAGAAACAGTATTGAAACGTACTGTAGCTAGTAATTGACAAAGAATGCCACACAAGTATAGTTTGGGTATATAATACGTTGCAATTCGACCCACTTGTAAACATTGACGATATTTTACGTTCTTGCACTGTCTCCGTTTAGTCCTCCATTTTCATTTCGTCTTGGTTGGCTCGCGCTAGCTGGCAATGCAGAATGGCGCTGACTGATTGTCAGCTAGAGGAGACCTATCTTGCTCAGTTCTTACTACAGCGCTAATTCAGGACAGGAGGGGAAAGGCGGATTCTGATTCCAAAACAAACCCCATGTAAACCAGGGCATTGCCATTCAATCTACAGTAGATTAAGCGATCACTTTATTGGTCAATTGCACACAAGGTCCAACGGAAACGTTACTTCCGTTTATAACCCCGGGAGCTGTTGTGGGGGGTTAAACTCAAGGGCACAACGACAGGCAATGGCATCTAGGATTTGATACCTAGATGACATTGCAGCTCACTTCCCGTCAGATTTTTGTAGGCACACTTGTACTCCAAATCAAAATTCGAGGTCACACAGTACAAAAATGGTGCCATCAGAGCCCTGCTGCTACCTTGTTGAATAGCTCTCAGCCCAAGGTCTTTATGATATAATAATAATGGTATTTTGTCAAGGTCAAACAGTTTCAGAACATACTTTATTTACAGAATGTAAACAAACAAGACATTAAATACAACAGAGTTAATTTAGTCTCTTCTCTATACAGGGAGGAATTATTCCATTACAGTAGATTGTAGGGAAATAGTTTGTGAAAATCAAATGGCATTTCCATTTGCTCTCAGATGAGTGGATGTGTAGTAGAGCGCTCAAACCGGACATACAAAGACTTGTTCGCTGTAGTCTATCATTTTCAACCAGATACATTTACGTTTTTGAATCATGTGGCAGACACATTGAAAAATGTAACAGCCTTCAAAATGTTGTCGTGTATTCTGTTACCTCTCAAAAACTAGGCCTGTGTTTGCCATAAATATGGTTTATTTTTCAGTGACAACATGCAGAAATAGGAATCAGGACAAATGGCGGTTGCATTATGATGAACACGAGTCCCAAGGGAGGAAAGAAAAACATTCCGAAATGGAAAAGCCTCATAACTATCTTTAAACCATATCTTAATTCAACAGGCAGTGCATTGTACATTATCTCTGCAATAAACTGTAGGCAACATTCTGGTATAAATAATAAATAAATTAACATACACAATTGTAGAAAAAAATAAATTAACCGACATTTGTGTCAACACTCATCTGAAGCCATGTTCCATTCTTGTCCGTTCACATTGAGTTTGGTCATGTGGGCGATCATTGACCAAACTGTCCAGTACCAAAACGTATTATGCACTCCCAATAAATGTTTATTAATATTACAGATAATAGATACACTTTCTGAAACTTTCTATACAGCTTACTCACACACCCACTCCTGAAATTTAGCCATGAACAGCTGCTTCTCTATGAGTTTGCTAAGGGAGTGTAATGTAATGTGACAGTGATTGCGAGAACAGGTGGCGCCCTCTTGTGGTTACTTGTCCTATAGTACATTGGACATTCATCTCCTGGACATTCAAGTAAATATACTTGAGATGGAGAAGGATGATTGTAGCTTTTCGGGAAAAATGTAATTCTGGTCATTAACCAAAAATAAAGCCTTTGGATTACTCCAGAACAGCAGCTTGAAAAGAGAAAGTGTCGATAGTTTTATGTTACAGGTTGAAGTGCAATAACTCAATGGTTGGGACAAGGGCTCAGTGTTAGGAAAGACTAACAGTGACATTGTCCTTGCTTTTCTCCACGTTAGAGTCTTTGTCTGTGGGGGCAGATGCTGTCATTCCTCTGGGAGAAGTTTGACCACTGGACTGTCCTGAGGCTTTGTTTGGGCCGTCTGCCGTGGACCCCGACTCAGGCTCTTGCTGTGAGGCTGTCGCTACAAAAGAGAACAGAAATATATAACTATACAATTGTAAGAAAATTGATACCTGTAGTCAGATGGATTCAATGTTCTTTAACTAATATAAATTCAGCTTTGAATATGGCTGGTGTGTGTGCGTTACCTGATTGTGTGCAGGACTTCATGTGTTCTGGCCAATGGGCTTGCTGGCAGGGGTAGTCACAGTAGCTGGTGTTCCAGCAGCAGTAGAATATGGCCTCCTTCTTGCAGTTGGCACACCATTGCTTCTTCTTGGTCTCATCTACCACCTGTTGTTTCTCCACCTCCATCTGCTTCTTCACCTCCGCCATCAATCGCTCCCTCTCCTGCTCCAGACTTTGCCTCATCTCCGCCATGGTTAACTCTGCACATGCACACACAGACAATACCATAACCTTCTCCGTAGAATAACGCCATTACTTCTCCTTAGTCAATGACATCCATTGTTATACTGAGAGACAGTCCTTGACCCAGATTTATCTGGGTCATCTGCAGTTGAAGCTAGAGTAATGCAAAGGTCCTTACCTAGATTGTGCTTCATTTCTGACAGCTCCTGCTGATGAAGCCACTGCAGTTTTTCTATTTCAATTCTCAATCGTCTAATCTGTGTGGGAGAGACAAGGACATACACTCAGACTCCCCAGAGTCATACAGCTAGCTATTATAGGCATGGTGGTATTCAGTCCCTCTGAGGGCGACCAGCAAATACCTACCTCTGCTAATGTGTTCCCTGAAGTGCTTTTGGAAAGGTCTGTGTACAGCTCAGTCACCGTCCCTTTGATTGTATCCATTATCTGAGGAAAAAGGAGACCTGAAGCAAAACCTTTTTCAGAAGTAAGCTTTATACAATCTTTTGAATGCAGACCCATCACACTCTTTTGAGTACCCAAGAGACCAATGACTAATCATAACTTCATTAAATGCAGATGACATATAATAAAAAAAGCATATTTTTATTGGTTGAGAATCTTTATCTAACTGCCATATGTAAAGTTGTCCCCCAAAAGTGTGCATGCTTTAATAAGCCCTGCTCCAAGTCCCAAACCATAATAATATACTGATAGTGTAGTATACAGTCTTCAGCTTGTTTACTCTGGCCATCGATCCAAGCCTTGCATACTTACTTTATTAGTGTACTTGGCGATGTCAGCTGCTACATCTGCTGATGCGGTGGGGATCTGGAAGTCCCCTGCCATGGAAGAGGTGGTGGAGGGGCCACTTCCTACTCCGGGGGCTGCCATCATGGCCACAGAGGGTGGGGTACTGGTCACCAGGGTAACAGACGACGTGGACGTATTGAGCGGAGGGTCTTTCTTCTGGACAGCTAGAGTAAACAACAAGAATCAAAACTAAATCAGTGACATCACAGCGATGTTTTTTAGTCCTGCAGTTGCCCTCAAATAGTTTTTTTGCTGTGTCCATTTTCTCTGTAGTGTGCTAATTATCAACTAATACTGTGGTGTACCTTTGACAGATTGCCTGGTCTGATACCGCGTGCTTTGGGAAGGTTGCTGTGGCAATGAGGAAGAGGTTGCAGATGCTGGCGTTTGCGGCATTGTTTGTGTCTGTGGCTGGCCTATTGATGCTGCCTGCAGCTGAGGTGTATCTGGCTGCTGATTCTGTTGCTGCCGCTGCACCTTCTGCATGTGCCACTTCTGGGAGGAAGTCTGGAACTTGTTGGTGGGGTTCCACACCACCGCCCGCTGCACCACCGGGACAGTCTCCCTGGGCAGCAGAGGGCGCTGTTTCTTCACTGCTGTGGTGGCGGAGGAGGCTGTGATCGGGGCCGTCGGTAGTGTGGCATTGGAGAGGGTGGTAGGGGCGATGGTGGTGGAAGAGGCAGTAGTGAAGGACACCATGTTTAGAGGGATGGCTAGTGGAGAATGTGATAAATCTTTCACACTGGGGGTTAAGGAAGGGGCTGTGTTGTTTTGAGATGGCGTAAGGGAACTTGACAGGGCTTTACCTACAATGGAAAGAATATTAATTAATAACAGCATCGGTTTTGGTTAAACTTTTTTCTCGCTTTCATATTTTATCAACTAGTGGTAGAGAACAGGAGGACTCACCCTCTGTCTTATTGGCTGGTGGATCTTTGGTGGCGCATGAATCGTTCCTACGCCTCTTCCTGTCTCTGCCCCCCTGGTCCTCCCCCAGGTCAATCACCAGCTCCCTCTCAGAGTCTGAGTCGTCCACCAGAGAGGGCTGCCTGGCCTCCTGCTTCACCTGGTGCTTCTCTCTGGATGCCGGGGACACTGGGGCTCCTTTGGCTTTCTCTGGGGTCTCTTTGTTCGAGTCTACACCCTGCTTCTCTTTAGATGAGGATTCAGAGAGGGTAGATGGTGCCCCCGCATCCCCCATGGTTACCGTGGCAGTTGCTGGCCCCTTTGTTTTGACCTCGTTTTGGCTGGGGGGCAGGGGGTCTTTGGATCCCCTCTTGAAAGGGTCCTTCTCGCCCTTGTCATTGGCCTTTGTGTGCTGGCCCGCCTTCGGTTTGTGTTCCTCGTCGCTGGCGTCACTGTCACTCGAATCTGATTTATCAGAGTCGTCTGAGTCGCTGTGTTCCACTCCTTTATACACGTCCTCAGAGATCTCATCTATACCTGTACACAGCAGAGGGGAAATTGGGGGAAATGTATAACGTCAACGATTTTTTGGGTTGTTTTCATACAAATGGACTAACTGAAAACAAAGTAGTTGAGTGGTGCCGCTATCACTCACCCAGCTGGGCCTTGCAGCTCTCAATGGTTTTGTCCAGGTTTAGCTGGAAGCGGCTCCTGATCTGTCTCTTGGGTGAGGTGAGGACTGGTGGTGCCCCCTGCTGCTGCTGTACAGTCTCACTCAACTCCTTTAGATCCATCTCGGCTTTGCTACGGTCTGAAAGGCCAGCACACAAGATCACAAACAATGTTATTGACTGGTTGAAATCAGCTCCAATCACTAGACCTAGTAGGAATGCCTCTACATATGGTTAAGGTATATGTATATGGTTTTGCTGTCATGAAGCCTTTCCCAGGTGTGCTAAACAGGTGAGCTTTGAAGATGATTGTGGTGTGACTGAGGGCAGGTGTGTGGCAGCTCACCCAGGTTGAGGTTAAGGATGCTCCCTGTGGGAGTTGCTTTCTCCTGCTTGGGGACGAGAGGCAGAGCAGGATCCTGGGAGTGGAACGGTTTAGGGCTGTCATTGGTACCAGAGGCAGGACCAGGTCGAGTGGAAGCAGGTGATGCTGTGGAGAGAGTAAGATATCTATATCTATCACAGTCATGCTCTTCTTCGGATCTTAATTTAAGAGGTAGGTTTAAAAAAAAAACTTCTATGGCAATTGTACGTTGAAGAAATCAACATGCCCCGTGTTTACAGTGCTTGATTTATACCGAAAACCAGAGTCTAGGTCACTGTTACAGTATATTCCATATTCCCCTAGGACTTCTACTCCAGACTGTCAGAGAGGCAGTGTGCAGTACCTACCTGCGCAGTCCATGGACTCCTCCCCAGCACTGTAGTGGCTGACTGGGGCTCTAGCCTGGCCCTTGTCTGGTGTGTCCTGCTCTCCATCAGAGCCTGTGTGAGCAGAGGAGTTGGTGCTCATGGGCGAGCGGGGCATATCTGTTAGGGAGATCCTCCTGCCTGTACTCCCTACAGCTCCACTCATGCCCCCGCCCCCGCCAGACAGCATGCTCCTGGCCAAGGGCATCTTGGGAGATGCAGTCATGTCGAAGTTGAACTTGATCTTCTCCTGCTTCTCGGGCCGGACAGAGCCGGACGAGGGGTTGGCGGGATCCAGCAGCATTTGGTACTGGTTGTCAGGGGTGTAGGGTGTCCGGAAGGGGGCGTAGTTGAACACTCCAAACTTCTTCCTCATGTTCTCCACGTAGACCTCCATCTCCTGCATGGCACTGTTGAAGATGCTCTTAGTCTTCTTCACAGAGAAGGGAATCTCCCTGGACATGAGGTAGCAGTTGTTTAAGGGGACCCACGCCCTGGAAGGTGAAGAAACATAATACAACTCAACAGCTGGATAGAGACGGAGGATAGAGACGGAGGATAGAGACGGAGGATAGAGACAGAGGATAGAGACAGAGGATAGAGACAGAGGATAGAGACAGAGGATAGAGACAGAGGATAGAGACAGAGGATAGAGACAGAGGATAGAGACAGAGGATAGAGACGGAGGATAGAGACGGAGGATAGAGACGGAGGATAGAGACGGAGGATAGAGACGGAGGATAGAGACAGAGAGCTGTGAAATACCAAATGTACTGATGAGTATAAGTGACATAGTTAAGTACCAAAGGGGAATTACCTGTCGTGTTGCCCGAAGAAACGAGCATCCACCTGCCCGTCTTTGTCCCGCAGTGCTTTGGCAGGCCAGAATGGAAACCCCTTCAGCTTGGCCCACACCAGAGGGTGAGGATTACTCTGAGCAAAGGAAACAGGAAGACTAGTTATCATACAGAGGCCATTATACAGATCACATTCAGTATACACAAGGTACTACAATTAAAATGTATGACTCGTTTAGCACAAGCTTTGATTTTAAGTAACTGAACTCACGCATGGCTCACAGAACCAGTTGTCTCTCTTTTGGCAAGCTGATAGATAGCACTCCGGACAGACCTCAATCTCATTCATCTAAAATAGAAGAATCATTGTACGTGTAAGAAGAGTCTCTTCTGAAGGCCTGAAAGAATCTTTGACTGCATACCCATACTGACCTCATGTTCACAGATTTTCACTATGACTTTAGCTGTGGCAGTGAGCTTATGATTGCCTAAAATAAGAAGGTCACAGTGAGTAATCATTACAAACCAGTTTTTGATAACCAGTAAAAATCCATTGCAATCAAAACAAGGACACCGACCTCCATTATAAATTATGCAGTTGTGTAAAATCCATTTCACATCTGCCAAGAAAGCTTCAGTACAGCCATACATTTTCTTTTTTGTATTCTGGAAAAATAAAATAGAAAAGGTCAGTGATCAACAACTGGTGAGGTTTGGTATTGTAGTTCTAACCCCAAAGAAGGAAGGACATCACATTTCTAACCTTCTCTAATGTACAGAGGTCCATGGCGTGAAATATATACTCTGCGTAGTCCGGATGCTGTTCCAGAGATACTGGTTTCTGGAAAGGTTCCGTCTGGAGAAGAGACAAAATAAACGTGCACAGTGAATTAACCTTCATATTCCAATTCCAAATTGGCCTCACTTAGGCCAAATCCTAACTTGAGACACACTCATAGCTAAAACTTTAATGTAAATATAGAATTGCAATCAATTCAAGATTTAGGTTAAGATTTCAATTGCTTGAAATCGCATCTCAATTTAGGATTCAGCCTTCACTGCATGACCTCCACCACCACAACACACACACACTCTACCACCCCAGGACAGACAATAGCAACTAAAAACAGACAAACAAAACAAAAATAACACTCCAAACAGGAGGAAAATAACAGGGGGGAAATATGATTAGGTCTTTTTTTAGTGTGTTTGTTTGATTACCCAATTAAAAGCCTTTCTCTGCGTGGCGCCTGCATGGGGGGAGTGAGATGACGAGCGTGGTTGGTCCTGAAAAAGAGTAAGAGGGGCAACTGTATCCTCACTACACCACCGCTTTACAAACTGGACCCTTGGTTCAATGGTTCCTTTCCTCTTTATGCCATTGTAGAGGAGAGGACTGGCTAAAACAGGCTTGGGTGGTTTAGTGTTGTTAGAGCACCCTTACTTATGGCTTACCATTTTGTAACCAGAACACCAAAGGATACTTCAGACTTTGAGTACAGTAAATAAGTTCCCAGTGTATTGGGGAAGGAGCAATGGACCTCATCAATGATGGACACAAAACCATGAGAAAGCATTGAGCGGTCTTAAAAATCAGACCATATAAACAAGCACACGACCATTCCATTGAGTTCTGTTCACTCACATTGGAATTACACAAAACATTAGGAACTCCTACCTAATATTGAGTTGCACCCCCTTTGCCCTCAGAACAGCCTCAATTCATCAGGGCATGGACAACAAGGTGTTCCACGGGGATGCTGGCCCATTTTGACCCCAATGCTCCCCACAGTTGTGTCAAGTTGGCTGGATGCCCTTTGGTGGTGGACAATTTTTTATAAACACGGGAAAGTGTTGAGCGTGAAAAACCCAGCAGCATTGCAATTCTTGACACTCAAACCAGTGCGCCTGGCACCTACTACCATACCCTGTTCAAAAGCACTTACATCTTTTGTCTTGGCCATTCACCCTCAGAATGGCACACATAAACAATCCATGTCTCAATTGTCTCAAGGCTTAAAAATCCTTCTTTAACCTGTCTCCTCCCCTTCATCTACACTGAAGTGGATATTATTTAACAGGTGACATCAATAAGGGATCCTAACTTTCACCTGGATTCACCTGGTCAGTCTATGTCATTGAAAGATGTTCCTAATGTTTTGTACATTCAGTGTTTATGATTTTTACTAACACTGATCTCTCTATTCTTCAACAGTTCTATATCTACTGTCAAAACAATTAGTCAATAACAACAGTTAGAAAAGGTAGAAATAAGTAGTTATTCCATGACAATGAGGGGAGGGTGAAAGCAGAAGCACAAGCCTTTGGAATATGTACCCTATATACAGTTGATTTAGAATGTTACTGATCAGTCAGTTGGAGGAGGGAGGTCAGTGCACTTACACCTGGCTGTTTCATCTTCTGGAGTGCAAACTTTAGCAGGTATGACAGCTGGTCTATTGTTAGCATCGTCATTGCTTTACTCTGAGTCTCTATGCACTCTGCAACTGTTATTTTCTGAAAGAAAAGAGGTAGATATTTTGTTAGCAAGATGTATATTGCCATTTCAAAAGGATATTCCCAGTATCAAGCCTCATTTTACTACCATGACCACATCTTATACCAACATGATCAGAATTTCTTGTAACTCCATAAAATATGGATGTCTGTCATCATAGTCCGGCCTCAACCCCCAGCATTTTAAAGTTCTAAAGTTGTCTTCCTGGTAGACAACTGCTTTTCGGTCCCACCCACAAGCGAGTACCTCACACTCAGGGCAGAACCAGTCACCCTCGGGCTCTGCGGGTAGTTTGAGGCACTTGGCGTGGTACACCCTCGGGCAGAGCTCACAGCAGAGCACCTGGCCCTCGCGGTGGCACAGCCAGCAGTAGAAGTCATTCCTGCCGTCCTGCGGCACAACATCAACAGGGTCTGTGGTGAGTGTTGGCTGCTTCACATAGTAAAAGGGACCATGTCTTAGTTCTGACTGAAATGCAGGCAAGAGAAAGAGAATGTAGGGGGTTTCAAAATCAGGTGTGAGATTACATGAGCAGCACAGCAGACATGAAAAAAATAAAAACAAAACAATAAAAAAATATGGTTTCTAAAAAGACAATCTACATTTACATTTTAGTCATTTAGCAGACGCTCTTATCCAGAGCGACTTACAGTTAGTAAGTGCATACATTTTCTATACATAATCTACATAGTAACTGTCCAAAACACAGACTGCTTAGAACCCTGTGTTGCAACATAAGGCATTAAAACATTGATTAATTGACCGTACCTGGTATCAGACTGGAAGAGAATCATTACTGTAGATTACATTACAAATTCCCCTTCAAAAGGTCAAGACAGTGAAAAGGATCAGTTTGAGAAACTAGCCTTTAGTATCACTTACTGATTGGATCTGAAAAGCAGTCTGTGTTTTGATCCACACCTGTTACTTTTTTGCATTGAGACAAGCGTTGATCCATGGCTTATAAGCCAAGGTTGCTATTGTAATTGACCATTTATAAAGCTGATAAAAGTGCTAATCATTAATAGTCTCAGTGTGTGAGCAACGGCCGAAGCATCACCAATCACTTGATTTTAGTAGGCAAAATTAGTAAAACAAGCATGCAAACACATTAATGAAACAATTATTTAGATAATCTTTTTACATAGTATTAGGACATATAGGCTTACTGTAGCACTATAAGAAAATATAAACCCCTGGTGTCACAAACATCAAATAGTCCCCTGGCATACCAAAAGACTCAATTGGAACAGAAAATGTTATACATAGGTTTTTTAGTAGGATATATTTCAGTGTAACAGAAACCCAGCAGCTTCTGAAAGCGCAACAGTGTGAGCACAGAGGAGCAGGGAGGGGAGTGGAAGGGGAGGTCGCACCTGGTCTTTACTGCTGCTGACCGCTCCTGGTTTCTTCTTCTTTTTGACCGGGCTGGGGGAAGTCTCAGCCGGGGAGTGACCATTAGATGAGTGAGGGGGGCTGGACACCTTGCGTTTCTGGGCCGCCCGCTCTACTGACCCAGGGTCTGAAACTGTAGGGAGGGGTCAAAGGTCAGGCAAACCAACATGACAGATGTATTATTTCCCAGAAGAAGGTGCATGTACTGGCCATAGAACAGTAGATGTTCATTGTTTTCATACAGTACAGCAGATAAAAACAAGTTACCATAGTGATAAGACATGACAGCGATATGAACAGAAGCAGCACATTAGCCTCCATCTTGTGTGATTCAGCTCTGTACCAAACACACACATACAGTAGCCTACACTCAAAATGGGAGCAATAAAATAAAGCCTTTCACCACCACCACATACTGCCCGCAGGCATAGGCTTAAATAGGTGATAGTACAGCTCAGCTTTCAGTGTTTTTTCTCACCTTTGGATCGTGTAGAGATCTCCATCCCCTCTACTGTATCCGACTCAGTCTTCACCTCCTCCTCAGCCAAACTGGCAGAGAAAAGAGATGCACTATCAATGCCCTGTTATGACAACACCTACAGAAAAAGACTCCCAACATATATCATTTCATCCAATGCCTTTTTACAGTTTGACTCTCAATATGTTTACACCAGACATTGCTTCATCCACAGTATGTTCAGTATGCACGTGGTTTCGCAACACCATCTACTAAGTAACAATCATAAATCACACTGTATAAAAGCATCTGCTGAAATACTTGTGTGTAAATGTAAAACCAAGGTCTCACAAATCTTATTTGTGTGGATCTAGTATCATTTTCAGAGGAAAGACAATCCCGTCTGGCTGTAAAGGTCTGCTTCAACACTGACTCACACTCTCAGTCTCACTACAATGGGGTTATTCTTAGAGTGAGAGTACATTTGGCCCGGAGGCAAACTCTGTCTAAACCAATCCTGACTGGACACAGACACACACTGTTCGCTTTGGTGCAGAGGTATCATAAATCTACAGGCTATGGCCAGCAAGAGTCCCTCTCTTATTGGGAGAAGGAAAATGTCTAGTAAAGCAGTTAAGAGTTCCAGAGTGTGAAACTGACAGAATGTGATTAGTCTAGAAGGTCACCAATCATCCGTCAGTGCCTCAGAACAATGTCCCAGGGATTAGATTTGCTTTTCTAATGCTTTTCATACATTGCTTTTCATACATTTCATAACATGGGGTTGAATCCTATCTACACATGAACTCAAACCCATAAATCATGAATTGATGTCAAAAGGGGATTTCTCAAATGGACAAATTACACACAGAGACACATCTTATCTACTGGAAATGACTGGGCATGGATGTTATGTAACTAACTGTTATGTAACTAACAGCTAAATGTGTTCTAGTTTCAAACTCAACATGTAGTCATTCCATATGATTTCAATCACTTTCTTATTGCACCCCTTTTGATTTGAACGAAACCTTCCATACATCTTTGCCCATGGTAGAAAGGTACTTTTTGAACCTGAACACCAAAACATTCAGGAGAAAGAGGTGCTCAAAGTTTTCCCATTTTGCATACCCCACCATACCATGAGACATCCATGTCTTCACTGAAAAAGATAAAGGGTTGAGTTTGATATAATTTGAAAGCTTACAAACAGGGTTGTGAAACTGTTTTATGATTTATTGAAAGAAATTGATTAAAATGTTTTTAATAAAAACAGTCATTTTTTCAGCAATTACCAAAAAATGCGTAAACGGATGTTTTTCTTGTTTATATACACTATATATGCAAAAGTATGTGGACACCCCTTCAAATTAGTGGATTCAGCTATTTCAGCCACACCCGTTGTTGACATGTGTATAAAATCGAGCACACCACCATGCAATCTCCATAGACAAACATTGGCAGTGGAATGGCCTTACTGAAGAGCTCAGTGACTTTCAACCGTCATAGGATGCCACCTTTCCAACAAGACACAGCCCTTCTGAAATTAGCCCACTCAACTACCTCATCCCCATATTGTTATTTATTTTGCTCATTTGCACCCCAGTATCTCTATTTGCACATCATCTCTTGCACATCTATCATTCCAGTGTTAATACTAATTGTAATTATTTTGCACTATGGCCTATTTATTACCTTACCTCCATAACTTGCTACATTTGCACACACTGTATATATATTTTCTGTGGTATTTTTGACTTTATGTTTTGTTTTACCCCATATCTAACTCTGTGTTGTTGTTTTTATCGCACTGCTTTGCTTTATCTTGGCCAGGTCGCAGTTGTAAATGAGAACTTGTTCTCAACTGGCTTACCTGGTTAAATAAAGGTTAAATAATAAAAAATTACAAAATCAGTTTGTCAAATTTCTGCCCTGCTAGAGCTGCCCCGGTCAACTGTAAGTGCTGTTATTGTGAAGTGGAAACGTCTAGGAGCAACAACAGCTCAGCCGCAAAGTGGTAGGCCACACAAGCTCACAGAACGGGACGGCCGAGTGCTGAAGCGTGTAGCGCGTAGAAATCAACACTCACCAGTTCCAAACTGCCTCTGAAAGCATCAGCACAAGAACTGTTCGTCGGGAGCTTCATGAAATGGGTTTCCATGGCCGAGCAACCGCACACAAGCCTAAGATCACACCATGCGCAATGCCAAGCGTCGGCTGGAGTGGTGTAAAGCAAACCGCCATTGGACTGGAGCAGTGGAAATGCGTTCTCTGGAGTGATTAATCAAGTTTCACCATCTGGCAATCCGACGGACGAATCGGTTTGGCAGATGCCAGGAGAATGCTACCTGCCCAAATGCATAGTGCCAACTTTAAAGTTTGGTGGAGGAGGAATAATGGTCTAGGGCTGTTTTTCATGGTTCGGGCTAGGCCCCTTAGTTCCAATGAAGGGAAATCTTAACCCTACAGCATACAATTACATTCTAGACGATTCTGTGCTTCCAACTTTGTGGCAACAGTTTGGGGAAGGCCCTTTCCTGTTTCAGCATGACAATTCCCGTGCACAAAGTGAGGACCATACAGAAATGGTTTGTCGAGATCGGTGTGGAAGAACTTGACTGGCCTGCACAGAGCCCTGATCTCCACCCCATCGAACACCTTTGTGATGAATTGGAACACCGACTGCGAGCCAGGCCTAATCGCCCAACATCAGTGCCCGACCTCACTAATGCTTGTGGCTAAATGGAAGCAAGTCTCCACAGCAATGTTCCAACATCTAGTGGAAAGCCTTCACAGAAGAGTGGAGGCTGTTATAGCAGCAAAGGGGGGACCAACTCCATATTAATGCCCATGATTTTGGAATGAGATGTTTGACGATCAGGTGTCCACATACACTACATTACCAAACGTATGTTGTAGCTCAGACCCTATTTTACATAATCTGAGGTGTTTGTGTTGTAGAGATAATAGAATAGACATTCACATTCAAGTTGACATTCGACAATGGGTGGACCAGAGGCCATCTTTCTAGTAGTAATTGGAAGTTAAAGTTTCAATTCAATTTAAATGTAAATGGCGTACCACCTAGATTGCAGGGGTCTGTAGGGATAGATCCACAATTTCTATGGTTGAAATGACACCCACCCTGCATTCAAGAAAATGCTGCGTCTCAACCAATGGCGGGCACAACACAAACACTTCAGATGATGTAAAATAGGGTTTAAGATACATTTTCGAAAATGACAAAAATCTGAGTTGATGCCTTTTTAGATAAATTACGTTAAAGCTTAAAAAATGACAATTGTTTAAACACATTTTTTTCAAGAAATCATAGAATAGTTTGACAAACCTGTTGGTAATCTTAAAATGATATCAAACTCAACCGTTCCCATCACACATGAATCCTGAGCCCACAACCATTGGGCCCCAAGACCTACTGAGACATCAAAGGCTGAACTGAGGCCAGGGGCAATGGAGAACCATCAGCTCTACAACTGCATGGTGACTACAATGCCATGGTCATTACCCTCTAAAATGAGACTACCCCAGTCTCATGCACTTTATATCCCCCAAGAGAGAAGCAACTCAAACATTCCTGTTTCATTGTCTTGAACAAACACAGTCCCAGCCTTATGCATACACATCATTTAAATGCACACTTCCTTGAATTAAAAAAAAAAGGTACTTTTTGGGAATGCCACTACTTAATAAGAAAACTGTCAAACAGGTTTTACGCAGTATCAGCTCAAAATGAACATCCTTGTTTTTTCAGACAACAATGTGTCGATCCCCTTGTTTCAGAAATTGTTTTTTACGCCACGGCACAAGCTACTGTCTCACAGCTCAGATAGGTTCCATTTCACCAGCTTTTTATTTAGCTCTTGGAGAGAGCAGCATAATTAGAATGCGAGAGTGCCAGATACAAAGATAGCAGCTCCCTGTTAGAGAAGCATATGTAGTCCCTTTTCCACCATTTCTTTATCACCCCTCTCTGTCTCTCTCTTCTCCATGTCGGGGGCAGAAAATGACAGACAGAGCACTGGCTTTACTGGCCTCCACCTCTGATAAAGGCTTTCAGCACAGACAGAGAGTCTGCCTCAGCAACATCCCCTCCTCCTCCGGTCAGATGAGCAGAGTGAAAGAGACAGTGAAAACACACTAAACCAATGCCTACAACACCCTTCTTGTAGATAAAACATTTCAGAAAATACATAATTTTCATTAATATAGTGATATAATCCCTCCCACGCCCTCTCTGACAGAACACCCATGCTTCAATGTAGGAAATTGACAGCATACCTTTTTTTTCTCTATACGCACAGAATACAGATTCTTCAGCCTTTAAAAAAGAAAAAATGCTTTTATTTTTTATTAGTGAGGCCGGTGGGGGATGAGACAAAGATTGGTGCTGAATTTTCCAGAAGGGCCTTGCTCTCCCTGCTGCTCTCTCTGCGATTGTCAATCTTTAACCTCAGCTGTGGACTGCCGATTGGTTTGAGCGCCACACGGAGGTGCCTGATTGGGCGCCTGGCTCAGTGTGCCACACAGGCTCTCTTCTCCCCTATCTCCTCAGACACAGTGCTGCAATGCAGAGAGGATTTCTCCTCACTATCACAAAACCCCTGGAATCAAGTCCCTCAATCCCATATAGTCCTCACTGGCTGTGTGCATTTTCTAAAACATGGGGGATGCAGTTACACAGGCAGAGAGGGAGCGTATCAGATTCCCTCCCTCTCCCTCCACAGCTCTGAGGCAGTGTGTGTGGCGTCCATTTTGAAGACATTCCCTCCTTGCCTGCCTGCTGAGCACACTGCGCACACACGGCTCCAGCCGAGGCGAGCTGCTGTAGAGATCACACACAGCTTACCAGTAGACCGGCTCACAGGAATGCAGGAAGGGCCTTACACTGAGCACAAAGACAGGGCTGAAAAGCAGGCCTCAGAATCAAAATGGACGGCTGTGGTTAAGACTGGAGAACATGCTGCCAACACCCTTTTCCCAGTCCAACACTTTCCTACTGGCTTTACTTCTGGACCTTTACAATGTGTCTATACTTGTAACCAACAGTGGTATTGCTATTACTTACTTTATTCTGCCAGTGCCACTTTGAACCATAATCTTGATTTGTTGTTAAATAAATACTAATGCTGCCATTAAAAAGATTGATTGACAAAAACAATGATGGTTTAACATGGAGAACAAATCTGAATGACATGAAGATCGTTAGAAAAGGTCAGACTACTCAGGTGTGGTGAATAATTAATCAAATGTGCCAGCATGAATTGGTTTTCTTGTTTGAACCATTAGTGTAAAGCAGAGTCAGTTGTAGCTCTAGAAAACCCTTCAGCTCGCCCACAGCCGGCCATGTGAACTACAATTCTGACGCCGTATTACAAACATCAATAATCATCGCTTGTTAAGCGGTTTTCGAAACGTATGGCCCTTATCTTTCATTTCAGCGATAAAGAATCTTTCAAATAAAAAAGATACACTAACGTTAGCAGATTTGCACAGATCCATACACTGTGTGTGCCTCCAGTTTACGAACTACACTTCCTCCCCAGTTACGCTTACAAACAGGTGCACGCTAGATAGCTAATTAGCACAGGTGGTCACCTTTGTCTTCCGTTGGACTTCCTTAAACAAGCGCTGTAACGTGGCGATATGGCCATGTTGGAACACTAATAAAAGGTGTGTAGTAATTTAACCTTTTGTGTTTAGTAAAGTTTTTCTCGCTGATATGAAATATATGTTCCTTATGTTTCCAAAACCATACCGCAAGCGATTAGTGTTAACTTTTACAGCAAGTGGCAGGGTTCTTGACAAAAGTCCCCCGAGAAGAAGATACCTTCATCAATGGGTGCTAAAGGTAGTTAGTGTCTATGAATGGGCTAAGTCGGTGGCAGCACCTCAAATCCTCATGCCAGACAGGAATGAAAAGATTAAGGGCATTACCAAAGACCATTCACAAAAAGGCACTGGATGAAAAGGTTTGCTCTCCAGTCAATTCATTAAGAACCATTGTAGGGTAAAAAGTAATGTGCTTTGACTCTGTGAATTTGAGGCAATTGGCGTCACATGCCAGACATTCAGGAATAATATGATAGTTTACATGGTTGTTGACAAAACATATGCCGACATACAGCATTCGTCTATGTGTGCGAATTCTATGAGTTCCACTACAGAATTAAAGATTCTTATATCCTTCTTGGGACAATTATATTTTTCTGGCCAAGGCTGTCTGAAACAGCCCTGCTTTCCTTCGTCAGGCTTCACATGCAAACACCCAGAGTGCCTAGAGCCATTGCACAGAAAGGGGAAGCTCTCTGAAATGGCTGCCACTCCACAGCAAAGAGAAAGCTGTGAACTGAAAGACCATTAGGAAGATTTTCTAGTTGTTCAATACATTTTTATTTTTTTAAACCCAGATAAACCTTGTTCAACAACTCAACATGCTAAAAGAAGAATGCGAGATCTACCCGTAGGTATAAACAGTAGTCTGGAAAAACACTGAGAATATGCCTTTTGAATAGTCGATCTTGTTTGTCCTCAAAGATTGCTTTCCTGCTTAAAAGGGCATACAATCAAAAGCAGTGCCCTGCTCTAATACCACTGAGGCCTAAATCATTTTTGCTGTGCTGTCATTGCTGAGCTGTCTCTTTACCATCTGTTAAATCCACTGGGACCCCCTCTTGAACGTTACAGCTCTCACCTCCCCACACCTTCCATTTTGATTGTACAGGCCTGTGACACAGTCATAAACCCTTACAACCCGACAGCCAAGCCAAACTGATCAATCCTGTTCCTTATTCCAACAGGGATATATTCCTCTTGCCATGCTATATTCTGTAAAAAGGTAGTAAGACAGGCTGACCCCCTATGTGATCAGAGAGACATAACCAGCAGAGGCAGCCTGCTGTGCTGTACTCTGCTCTCCTGCCAGGCTCCACTACTGTGCTGTGGGGACTAGCAGGCTCTCTTCCCCCTCTCTCCCTGAGACAAACCTGTATTCCCGAGGCACAGAACATACACAGTAGCTGGTAGCTTATTAAAGAGGAAGTGAAATAATGAAAATCAAGCTTACCTCTGTGGATGCATGGCTAACAAACTCAGTGTGTTATGTCAATGCTTATTAAAACATGGAGGACAGCCCTCTGTCCTCACCCTGCTCAGAGCACAGCCACGGCTCTCCAGGCTGGCCGATCGGCTGCTAGGATAGAAACCAAGCTGTGAGTGGCCTGCTCGCACTGGCAGGATGTAAGACTGCAGCTGATTGGCTGGGGCATTTCCTGGCTGCTAATCTTTTGTTCTGCACAGGCAGGCAGGAGAAGCGCTGTGGACCTACCAGAGAAACAAGGCCCAAATCACAAAATAAACAATTTCACAGCACAGAACATCCAATAAAACCACATGGTGCTGTAATCCATGCCTGACCCGTCTATATTACAAGGACATTTGGTTGTATTTCACAAAGTACAGCAACAGGAGCATGAATACTGGACAGGCCCAAGACCTCATGTTTCAGAAAAGGCCTTTGTTTCATAGATCTCACCCTTAAGTTAAAACCATCCGCAGTGAGAAAGTGTTGCACAAATACACAAGAGCAAACAAACAGTGAGAGACAGTCAGCGAGGTCGATCTGCAAAGTTTCCTCCTCTTGTAACTGAGATGAACTCCTCCAAAAGCCGACTGAACATCAACACATTACATAACAGTGCAAACAGAGAAAAAAATGTAGATTAATTACTATTTTGAAGACAGAAGTTGACACCAAGTTGTTATGCGCCATCAAATTATAATGTGGTCACATAAAAATATAATTTTTATGAACAGATAAGTGATAGTGTTATCTAATCAAATAAATACATAATTGAAGGAACTTTTTGTGATGCTATGGGTATTTAACCAATTATGTTTATTTGGCAAGTCAGACTAAACAGGGTTTCAAACCTGTACAGTAGGCAATACTATGTTATTATTACCCCCATTAAAACAATACTAGAATTGTGATTTGTCTGCTTTCCTAAGGGACGTTTTCTTTCAAGAAACAGACTAACCTGTTGGCCTATAGCAGAAAGGAGAGATTAAATGAAATATGGGATTAATCAAAAAAAAATATATTCCTCTCTGCATGTTGACAATGTACAGTAGTCCCTGTATTGCCTATGACATTTTATTTTTGCCCTCATCGGCACATTGCATTCACTGAAACTACACAGGGCACCAGTTTATCAACCGTGAGACATTTTGCCTTGTCCCTTTTGCCTGAATAGACAGCTCCATCTTTGGCACTTTGTAGACCATAGACTGTAAAAAATATATATATTAATAGGTTAGGCAGAGCTGCAGCTCTGCCTAACCTGAAGGAGAATAGTGACCTCTTGTGGAACCAAATGTGAAAAGGCATTACTAGGCCAGGCTAATTAGTTCACCTGGTAGCAGTAGGCTAATTGCGAGGGGCTAAATAATTAACTCAAATCTTACTAAGCTAGTTATGAGAATTATTAAATTTGCTGAAAATAGTTATTAATAAGTGTCGCTAGCTATATGAATAAAATACTCACCAAACGTCTCACTTGTAATTAGACTAGGCTATGCCTATTAGTCGACCAACAACAACATTTGAATTGGATTTGAACTCGTTTAGGCAACCGATAGTGCATGGGCGCTAGATCTGCACTATGGGCTGTCAGGCTAGATTTTACGTGCACACTAATAATTCGATATTACACTGATTATGGCAGTAGGCCGAGTATGGAAATAGTTACGTAAACACCCTACTCTGCTTATCTTAATCAAATCGAAGTAAGCATATGCCGATTAAAACACCTGGTTTTCTAAGCAATCTATCGAATTATTAGGACATGGAACACCTTTAATCGGTGTATTCGATCTGCGCATGTGCCCGCCGGTAGCGCAAGACTTCTTCTTCAACGAGAGACGACTCGTTTTCATGCCATGTTTTTCATTGATTAATACGGCACCAAACATGCTAGTTAGATATAAAATTGCTCGACTAATATCTCCTCGGCAAAAACGTCAACATTTATGACAGATTTCTTGAGTTATCTTAGATTAATTCAGACAATGTTGGGGACGTATTCTGGCTACGGCGTCTTAAAATGGACAAACAGTACTATTGCCGCTTTTCTCCTCGTTTTTCAAACTACGGTATTTTCATGCCAGCACACTGCTCTGTTCGCCAGCCGAAGTGAAGCATGCTGAAGCCTTTAACCCTACAATTCACTTAATGATGCCAATATCACGTTGAACATGATGAAATGTGTCCAATAAATTGTATTTAAAAGTCTGTATTAAGTCTGTATCAAATTGTATTCGTCAAGTACACAGTTTACAGCAGGTATAAAAGGTGCAGTGAAACGCTTATGTGCTAGCTCCCTCAACATTGCAGTACAATAATCAATAGTAATAATTACCAAAAGTCACGTAAAAAAATAGCAATTAATTATAAGGTAGTATGCATAGTAATGTAAACTATATACAGTATAGATTATGCATGTGCTATGTCAAGTATGACTGTTACAAATATAAAGTGTCTTGGTAGGGCAGTTGAACAAATAGTAGGATGAATTCGGAATTAGTGGGCCACTTTTTGCATTTCCAACTTCTGTAACCTCTTTCGACATCTATGCAACATATTAGCCCAACATATGATACATTTCTGAAATCCTCAAGATGTTTCATAATCACACAAAATAATTAAATAATGTTGATATCATATTCACAGATGACACACCGAGTCAAAACCATATTTTTAGTTCACATTTGGTAGACTGGGACAGCAGGTTAGATAAACTGGGACACCATTATTATAGTTCTAATTGTACCCCAATGACAATTACATTTTGTGTGATTAGGAAACATTGAGGATTTCATGTATTATGTGTTGGTCTAATATGTTGGATAGATGTCTGAAGAAGTTACAGAAGACAGAAATGAAAAAGTGTCCCACTTTTTCTGAATTCACTCAAATAACAGTACTAATAACAGTACTAAAAAAAAAACATTACAGGATATAGTACTACAAGAACCAGAGCCCTGCATAACCTATGTACAGGGGGGTCCTTAATGTAAACTGGATATCTTTCCTCCATTGGAAAAGCCTATAAGACTGTCCCAATTTAGCTACTCCGTGTTGTCCTACTTTAGCTAGCTATGGTTGGTAAAGCAGGACAATAACAAAATGACAGATTTACAAAATGTAAACATAATATTGGCAACTTTTTAATGTATTTTGATGCACCAGTACATAGTATGAACATTTACATCACAATGTGGCACTGTGCATTATTTATGACATGGTTTTATAACCTTAACATCAAAACAGAAAAAAAGCTATGTCACTGATCTTACCGTTGTGCTTTGCAGGGTGAGCTTCCTGTTGGAATATTGCTCTTCCCCCCTCTTTGATGTCATACCAATGAAGTGATGTGATTTTGATTATGTGGTTTCTCTGCAAGAGCTTAGTAACAATAGTTTAGATTTTCTCTTGTCAGACCATGAAATAAATGCATCAGGATTAAGCTGTCCCAGCTTATATGATGTCCCACTCTTTCCGAATTCACCCTATATAATAGAACAGCAGCATTGTGTGTGTGTGTGTTATACAGCCTTGCCATGACTTCTCTCCAATAGGTAGAGCGCCTTCAGAAAGTATTCACAACCCTTTTTACACATTTTGTTGTGTTACAGCCTGAATTTAAAATGGATTAAATTTAGATTTTGTGTCACTGATCTACACACAATGCCCCATAATGTCAAAGTGGAATTTTGTTTAGATACATTTTTACAAATGAATAAAAAATGTAAGCTGAAATGTCTTACGTCAATAAGTATTCAACCCTTTTGTTATGGCAAGCCTAAATAAGTTCAGGAATAAAAATGTGCTTAACAAGTCACATAAGTTGCACGGACTCACTCTGTGTGCAATAATAGTGTTTAACATGATATTAAAATGTCTACACCATCTCTGTACCACACACATACAACTATCAGTCGAGCAGTGAATTTCAAGCACAGATTCAACCACAAAGACCAGGGAGGTTTTCCAATGGTTCGCAAAGAAGGCACCTATTGGTAGATGGGTAAAAAAAAAAGCAGACATTGAATATCCCTTTGAGCATGGTGCAGTTATTAATTACACATTGGATGGTGTATCAATGCACCCAGTCACTACAGAAATACAGGCGCCCTTCCTAACTCAGCTGCCGGAGAGGAAGGAACCCGCTCAGGGATTTAGTTCACCATGAGGCCAATGGTGATTTTAAAACAGTTACAGAGTTTAATGGCTGTGATAGGAGATAACTAAGGATGGATCAACAAGATTGTAGTTACTCCGCAATACTAACATAAATAACAGAGTGAAAAGAAGGAAGCTTGTCCAGAATACAAATATTCCAAAACATGCATCCTGTTCCTAAAGTAATACTGCCAAAAATGTGGCAAAGAAATTAACTTTTTGTACTGAATAAAAAGCATTTTGTTTGGGGAAAATCCAACACAATGCATCACGGAGTACTACTCTTTATATTTTCCAGCATGGTGGTTGCTGCATCATGTTATGAGTATGCTTGTCATCGGGGAAAACTGGGACAAAAGTAACACTTTTTGTTTTTTCCTAATTACTCAGAGATCGATAGAGCTAGACACACCATATTTTATTACAAACAGCTTATACATGTCCTCTACAATTAGCAACTAGTAATTTCATTTCTAGGGTAAACTAGTTTGAATTAAATAGACCAAGAAGAGAACTACCGCAACGTTACTTTTGTACCTGTCGACGGGGCGGGCGTAACACGGCCTTGGGACGGAAGTTACAACTGGTGAGAAGTGCACAATATCTGTCTTATCTCCATGTTTCTGGTTTGTAATGCTTATTACTTTCAATAAATGTACTATCAGACATAATTTCATGTTTGTATCGATTTAAATAATTCATGCTATAGGTTTGTAATTTATGAAAATGAACCATGCGTCAACATTGCAATGTTGCGCAACCACAATATTTTGCCTTACAATATTAATCAGACTTAAATGGATCACATAATAGGTGTATTAACCATAATTTCTCACCTCACTTTAATGGGAATGTAGTAGGAGATGCTTTTCACAATTTTCAATGACTATTCATGCTTAGCCCTACCAATCTGGTGCGCTCCAGCTGTCGTTGTCATGCGCGCTCCTCATGTCTTGATAGAATACATTTCTTTATTCTCTTCACAAACGGCAAACTCATCATGCTCATCACATTTCCATGGATTGACACAAGGTAATTGACCACCAGAAATATATATATATTTTAACCACTAAACT